TCGTTGTAATGTGAAAGCTAACTTGCTGCACTATTTTGAAAAAGATGATATTTCAAAGAAGTGTGTGGATGTCAAGATGATAGATTCCTGAGGTGTTGAGGAAAAGGGCGAAGGAGTCGGCGTTTGTCAGGGATGCATTTTCTCTGTTTTGGAATGAAATATTTTCATGTTAGGCGAGGATGAACGAGTCCCAGTGATTCGTCATGACGTTTCGCGGGAGAGGTGGGAAGCGATAGCTAGAAATCTTGTGAAAGGTTACACTCAAGAACGCTATTTTCGAACCAAAATTTCTCGCGTTTTTTTTTGTGCTGCTGTCTTTTTGGTGAAGAAATTTTCTCAGAAGATATGTACCTGAGTTCCTTCATGAAGTATATTTCGACCACTGAGTCTAGTGTGGTTGAAAATGTACTTTCTCACTCTCTTGCAGTTGATGATGAAGATGTACAGGATTTTTTAACAGCGTTTGAGTGCAAAAAATCTAGCGTTTAACAGCGTTTGCCGTATAGCTTTTTCCCCTCGGTGTTTTGCCGTATAGCTTTTTCCCTCGGTGTTTTGCCGTCTATATGTTTTTCCCTCGGTGTTTTGCCGTATAGCTATTTCCTCGGTGTTTGTGGTATATATGTTTTTCCCTCGGTGTTTTGCCGTATAGCTTTTTCCTCGGTGTTTGTGGTATATATGTTTTTCCCTCGGTGTTTTGCCGTATAGCTTTTTCCTCGGTGTTTTGCCGTATAGCTTTTTCCCTCCCGGTGTTTTGGTATATATTTTTCCTCGGTGTTTTGGTATAGCTTTTTCCTCGGTGTTTTGGGTATATGTTTTCCCTCGGTGTTTTGCCGTATTTTCCTTCCTCATTTCCTTTATATTGTTTTCCTCGATGTTTTCCTTTTTCCTTGGTGTTTTGCCTTTTCCGGTGTTTTCCATATATGTTTTTCCTCGGTGTTTTATAGCCTCCCTCTATAGCTTTTTCCCTCGGTGTTTTGCCGTATAGCTTTTTCCCTCGGTGTTTAGCTGCAGGTGGTATTTTGTATTCCAGGTCGAAAATCACGCAAATATTTGTGTTTATAACAATCTTATAAAAATTTGCACAAAAGCTGCTTTTTTGCAAATTCTGCTTCGCCTTGAAATCGTCCCGAAGATTTGCTGTTTTTTATATCACATAAACTCTTCGATATTTTAGGTATTTTTCGTCCGTACGTATCTACAAGCTTATAATGAAACGAATGAAATCACGTTAGACGAGATTGAAAAGTTATTGACGAAGCTGACAGGTAAATTTTATAACAATCGTCCTCTGATATTAATATACCGCAAGATAAATTTTTAAAATTCTTTTTTAGGTTTCTATGGGTACGTATGTCTTGACTGATTCACTGACGTAGTTCTCGTTTATTTAAGGTTCAGTTAAGTCAGTTTAGAGTTTACTGACACCATTTAGGTCTGTTTTAGGTATACCTAGGGCTTTTCAAGTTATATTTGATGCTATTAATACATAACTTTTGAAAGCAATTATCTTATTTATCACATCGCCTGTTCAAGTAGTCTTTTAGCCATTGTACGCAAGTGCTTACATATTGGTGTCGGTTTTGTCTTTCTGCGAATAAATGTTTTAATTTTACGTATGTTTTAAAAAAATTCTAAAACAACATCATTCAGCTTTGTTTTCCTTTTCTTCTATAGATTGTCTCTTCTTTCTCATTTCTTTTGGGCGATGTTTTCAATTCTTCAAAGTTATAAATCCTCGATCAATTTTGGTTATCTCGTAAGTAGATGTACAGTAAAATAGTGTTGTTTACCGTTAGATTTACATCAAGTGACTGAATTTGGATTTTTTCTTTGTTGTATTGTCGTACCGTGGTAATGTATCCTAAACACCATTTGCTATTTTTAAAATACCATATCTTATAAGGAACATTCTACATCGAACAATGTTAGAAATGTGCACCACCACTTCATCACCTTTTTGCATATAGTGTTCGTTATGTCTTTACAAACATTTGTGTAAATGCATGGTCTTTTGCACTAAGTTCTTTCCATGTGGATTTGTTTAGAACAGATGTTAGTCAGCAATAATGTGTTATGCGTTTGTATCAAACTTGTACATAATGAGCGCTATCATTGTGAACAAACGTAAAAGGAGCGTAACTCTTTGCGAAGATTTCTTGTAAGTTTGCAAGAAGGATTTTGTGTTTAAATTTTATAGAATCAAATCTCTATAAAGTAAATCCCATCCGCAGTAGTAACCATGCAAAGGATCTTGAGTGCGTTTTATTAATCTGTCATATAAGGTGTTAAGGAAGCGTCTGAAACTATCTGGAGAAATACTTACGTGCAAACATCCACCTATATAGGAAATGTTACGCAAATACTACATTTACTGCATGATGACAAATTTCAGTACCTTTCATAAAACCAAATTGTTTATGACGATTTTTAAAATTATTTGTTGGGCTCTAATATTTATATTAAGAATCCGCTTCCCGCCTGGCACTTCATTGGCAACAATACCTTTAACAAAAATATATGTATGCTAATACTTCAAACTAGAAATAGGTTATGGTCACAGATTTGGATACGACATTTTAGTGCGCACAATTCTGAGAGTACTGCAGTAGCCTGCCCTTCCAAGTAAAAAGTAGGTAGAAATACTCACTCACTTTAACTTTTTCAAATGTAGTTCCTGTCTCATCAGCTGCCTTTTGTATTGTTTCATGTTTCTCTTTTGAGGTTGTATTCATTCCCTGATCGTTATAAGACTTCAAGATATCTTTTTGCAAGTGGCAAGTCCATATGGCGTCAATTAGAACGCTTAGAGGATCTACTTCATTGAGTTCTATAATAACTGGAGCGGCTATCTCAAACGCGGCCTTAGATATCTCATGACGCCAAAAAAATGGCGGATTTCGTCCGTTGCCGCTGAGATTTACCGAAATTGACCGCTTTTCCGAAAATTTCACAATTTCCCACACCCTCCTGAGGCAAGAGTGAGGAAAATGTATGTGTGTATTTGGGATTCGGCAAGCAACTTTTTGATGAAAATCAAGGTAAAAACCTTAAACAGCGAGTCAACTGTGGTTGTCAGTTATCTGCTCTTACGAGGATGCATTTAAAACTATCGACGAAAGAGCTATAATATATGTCGGCTACACATGAATGAATGCAGATGTGGGTCGTTCTTTTACCAGCATCAAACTTGTTTGATCGATTAAACTCTTCAGTCTATACAAAAAAGTATATCATAGTTCATTTCCACGGTTCACGAGAGAGAAGTTATCATTGCTATTTTGCTTCTTTTCATGCAATGGGCAATGGCTTTTTTCGCCACAATTGTAGGATTTTTACTTGTTTCTTTAAAAAAGTAAATATTAAATCTCTGGATACTTACGGATTTTCTGTAATTGAGTTTCATATTAAATTTCAAAAAGACTCAAGTCTGCATAGGTTTGGTAAATGAAAACAAACAATAATGTATAGAAATTACTTTAAGTAACCTTTTGTGATGTTCTGAAGTGCAACTGCATCCAATACTTGTAAAGTTGTAGCACATTTTGATTTTGTTGTATTGATATATGAATTGGGCAAAATGCAAATAATCATCAAAACACTTATGCTTCCAATGGTGTTTATAATTCAATTGTAGTTTTAATACTTCTACCCTTCTTTTTCACTTTGTTTTTCCTATATTTGCAATATAAGTGCACAATTTGAATGATTAACACAGTTTTCACCTCAATAATAAATTTCATAAGCAGTTGGTAGTGCATTTCGTTCTCTGAGTATCCACATCTGGTGTTTTGTTCCTACAAGAATGATGAAGTGCAAGTAGATATGTCATGGCAAGACAACAAAACCAAATGAATTAAATACCTTTAGTGTACTTTTATGCTTGAAGCTTAGAAGCTTTTTAGAAATTAGAAAGTTATATTACCTCTATATCATTAATCTCATGAAAAGAAATAAGAAGCAAAAAATTGTAGAAAAGCTTTGAAAAGTGAAGAAACCTTTCTTTAAAAAAGCAGCAATAATGCATATGATAAATCTCCATTCTGTACTCTAATGGGTAAATAAGCTCTAACTGTTTCTTAATGCGAAAACTGTAATAATGAAGAAATATACAGTACAGTAACTTTAAAGGTTTCATCACTGAATTGTTGACTTTCATCACTTTTCAATCGTTGACGGACTAACAAAACAAGCAACTATCTCACCTGTGAGAAGCCATATGTTCCTTTTTGTGGAAACTACGACATCCAACAATTGAACGATTGAAGTGTTGGCATTATAAAAGAAATGCCAAAAAAGAATCGTCACAGAATATGGAACTAACGATATCCATCTTCTGTGATATCGTGTTTGTTTTTGAAAAATTCTTTATAATTTGCTATAGATACCAGGGGGAAGTCGAGAATATTATTTTTCTGCAAAGCGATCATTTCAGCGGAAATACGTCCGTTGGCCGCCATTTTTTTGGCGTCCTCGCCCCAGTAAAGTTAGCCGCTCCAGTTATTATAGAACTCAATGATCTACATCACATACATGCGACGTTCTCAATTTGAAAAGACTTGCTTCAGACGATTGACAACATGCGACACGGGTGATGACTTGAATTTTTGTCAAAACCGGCTTTTAATGACAAACTGTTATTTGTAAATAGACGTCTTACCTACAGATATGTAGAATTATTTGCAGGTAGTTGACCAATCAAAAGTGACATTGTTTACATAGTGAATAATGATGTAAGATAATTGCATGACATGCATGATACACCAAGATTGCGTGAAACTTGGCGAAAATATAGAATTAGCTACTTATAGAGCAACATCTCATTAAAGAATTGAGTGAAAAAGCGTAACATTAGAATCACATAATTACCTAAATCAGCTCTAATTTTTAGGGAAAATATTATTTCACCGCAGCATTTTTAACAATTTTTCAACGCTTTTTTAAATGATAATGACTATAAAGGTTTTTTTAGAAGACATAAAAGCTAAAATGTTTTTATTATATGTTGAAAGTTTCATTAGGAATAATGATCAAATTTATAACATCGCAGTCTTTGGAAATTCTTCATGGTTTTATTTTCATCTCAGTAAACTTTAAGGATTCATAGTTATTTTTCCAATAATACCAATTCACACCAGTCGAACTGCTGTATGCTCCACTATAGTAGTGTCCATTTAGGTTAGATTCATGACAAGCATTATACCACCAAGCACCACTGTGGAGAATGGCGCAGTTTCCTACGTTTATCATTATCTGAATCTTTGGTTGTAAACGCCATGCCATTATGATAAGATAATGAATCTTCAGCATTTCCTACGAAGAGTAAATTGGCTCCGAAAAATTTTACGTCATTTAACTAATGTTATTCACAATTCTCCTTAACAATTGCAGAAAATACCCAACACGTGTTTTATGGGGTTAATAGAAAATTTTAAGAGATTTTTCAATGGTCATTTGTTTAGAAGGGTTTTATGAGATTTGTCAATTACTTTTTTCATTTAGTTTATAGAGTAAAGAAAGAAGCGGTATAAATACCGAAATATATTACAATACTAAGTTTTCTTTAGATATATTCAGTAGCATTCTCATTATACAGTTTTATACAAAGCTAAAATTGAATTTCATTGGTTAATTTTAGCGGAAGCTCCAACCACACTCATGCATAATGTATAACGCTAACTTTAAGTTAAAATTTGCTACCGTTTATAATATAGTTGTTGTTGCTAATATATTAAACCATTTATCCTTCTCAAAATGAAATAAATAAATCGCAAAAATAAAAGTTGTCTACTCGTTAGCTAGCTACATGTCATGAAGAGATTTTTAGCTTTCTTTCATCCCACCTTCATTCCCCTGAACTTTTTTTCTGCATGCAGTCTATTCACATTGGTCTCACTGTTAACCGGCCTAATTTTTATTGTATGATAGATTTTCAAAATTTGTGTATTTACTTGATGGTGTACCTGGGTATTTTCCAAGGCTCAAATGATATTTATGTGTTTCGTTCTTATAAATGAAAATTCTCCATGTAAACTTGAATGACTTTCAGTAACGTTTTAGGTTGTTAAAAGTTCGTGAGAAACCTTTATTTTTAGAACAAGTTATCATAGATAAATCATTTACAATTAGTTACAACTGGCTAACATGAATGCTTGCGTTTTATAAAAAAAGATTTCAGTCAATGATTACTGGACAATGGTGTTCACAGTATAAATTCTCTCTTATGTACCAAATGTTTTAGTCGTGTTTTATAAGCTATACATGTTGTTCAGGCGCAGTTTATCAGTGCCTATTTACAAAGCAAGAATTGAATTTCACAACCATTTCATGATCTCTTCTTGCATGTCAAGAATTGTTGTCGCATGGTGCAACTGAATGATTCACACGAGAGAATGATTTTTACTTAATTGTTGTTCCTTGTATTTTAATGTAAGCTTGTCGATTCAAAATGAATTATCATACTTTTTATAACAAACAAGACTTCAGTTCAATACCAACCGTTACTACCTGTGTTGTTTCTCTCTTCGCAACTGCACTCACTCAAATCATTCCAACATTTGGCATGTGTCAAACTCACGCTTAGAAATTTTTCCGTTTATATTTACGTATTGACTCACCAGAATATGCTCCACGACTTAGTTGATATTTTTTACTTTCATTCTTTACAGAAAAATAATCATATTCAGCATATGCTTTGTTTCCTGACCAGTCTCCCAGGTCAACACGAAGTTTATTTCTCTTGGCTGATGTTAGTCGGTATATTTTATCCAATCCTAGCCAGAATTCGCCTTTCAGATCGCCAAAACCTTGTTTATAGTCTTTCCAACCTCGATAGAAGTTTACACTTCCATCTTGACGTCTTTGAAACACAGTCCAACCTCCACCAGATGACGTCATATCACAGAAGACACTGAATGTGCCCTGGCCATCTGGATCAATTACATAAACTCCGTTCCTTTTTTCACCTTTTTTGTAGAGATCTGCACAGTCTTTTTCCTGAAAAAAAGTTTTATTAAAAAAGCTATTGCATTGTACGTCTTATGGGTTTTGTAACTCATTACACCTATAAGCAAATTGTTACACAGCTTTCCTGCGCATACATCCATTGTGCTAAATAACTATTTTGTACATTTTATAGTTAAATGTAAACACAAATTAGCAAGAAAATTGACTCAAGATCATTACAATTGCGTTCTTATCCTTGAAATCAGGAGAATTTCAGTAACTTAAGAGATGAATTTCTTTTTTAGTGATTCTGTTACCTGTGGCGTATTTGATTTATTGTAGAGAATAAATATATCTTCTGATATTGTCAGTTATCGTTTGGTTGTCTGAACGTACATGATGCAGAGCATGTTTAAATAGAAAGGTTGGTAACAATGGCTTTTTATAATGATAGATGAATTCAACGTCTCCTACCGCAAACTTTCATTAAAAGAACACAAAACCTGTTTAAAATGGTCAAATGTAGTAGAAACAAAATCACACTTAAAACATTTTGGAATTTTACATTTTATATTAAAAATTCACCAATGCACAGTTCCCATGTATAAATCAGTTAATATTATTATTAAAGATTATTTAGGATGCTACAGGCGTGGTAAACTTGGTTAATGGACTACCGTTCCGATTTATAGACAATTTTCTTTATTAGATTAAAGCCCAAATCTTTATTTAGGTTATGTTATCATATTTATAATATTAGTGATTGACGATTAAGCAGGCAAATTAAATGACATTAACTGATTCTAAACATCAACTGATGTTTTTATTGATCAAGACTTAGTGAGCATTTCAGTGATCATTATTATATATATCTTAATAAAGGAATAACACAAATCTTTTCATGTGCAAGATTCTTTAACACTCCTTACTGTCTTCGCTAAAATAGAAATTTATTTTTGGTTCAACTGACAAACGAAACTCCATTTCATTGCCAATATAAATGTAATAAGTACATAATTTTTGACCAGATATGTTTTCAAAATGACGTTTGTATTTTATATTACATTATATTAAAAATGCAAGAAAGAGTAATATTTATCATGCATTGCTTTAATCCAATATGCTCTAATCAATGCAGAACAAAAGAAGACCTAAAAATAAAAATATGTCGGTAGGATAGTATGAGGGTTTGCAAGAAGATGATTTCGAAAACGAACACTTGATCAGGCTAACAAAGAAATGAGCAAAATTTTCTTTTTAAAAGAACTTTAAGTCAGATTTAATATAGTTTCGCACAACACTGACCTAGAGAAAATTAGCGTGAATGATCAATTATTTAAAATTAATCCAAATGCCTACTTAAGAAACATTTTCCAATCAACTAGCTAATTTCTTTATTCTTACCGTCGGTAGTAGACTTTGATAAAAAGTCCATTTTCCTTCTGAGGCTAGTTTCGTTAAATTGCTGTCATGTAATTTGGCATTAGTAATTTGGCAGTTTATCTCATGTTCCTTTGCATGAAATAAGAAATTGAAGGCAACACATAGCTTCTGTTGATGACACTTCGTGAAACATTCAATGTGATTGGGAACAGCATGAGTTGAAATGATATCTTTCGGTGAAAGAATCTCACCTTAAAATAGAGAACAAAACAGAATACATTACAATAGGTGTAAATTATGCACAAAGATAACAAAGTCCATTTTCTAGTCAGTATATACATAATAAAATTAAAATTTACAAAATTCAATGAGACAGGAAGCAAAAGAAAGTCCCAATTATCTTCGTTTCTCAAAAGTAACCAATCATCATTTATGTTCCAACGTAAACGCAAAAATTTCTGTACGTATATTACATAGACGGGGTGATACAATGGTAGCTACGATATTGCCCTAAATTTGCCAAATTGTATTTTGCGTATGAATCGTCATCAGTAGATTTTTTAGTAATTTTCATGACAACAATCATATAAACATGAAAAAGAAACTTATTTCGTTCATAACATGCAATCCACACTGCAAAAATATAAAGACTTTTGTTGCGTTAATTTATAAATGAGATATGAACATGTTTTTAACGTCTAGTGTCTTAAAGTTCCTGAAATTCTCTCAGGGTATAAGGTAGGGTGGGTGAGAAAACTCTCCAACTTTCGCAATCTTTGGACTAGTTGGGCAAGTTTCAGGAATTTGTTGGGATAATTTTCATGGTTTCACTGTTCCATTATTTTAAAAGGTACAACGGGCAAGGTTTTGTACTCGTGTATATAAAATCTGATTACAAATCATTAAAAATTTTAAGATAAAGCCCTGCAAATTGTTTAACAAATGCATGACGTGTCAACATGTTATGTGTAAACTCCGTTTAATTTTACTGAGAGAAGAAGGTGTTTTGTAAGCTCAGCGAAAGCAGCCAATGGTATCAATTTATAGTTAGTTTGCAACATTAAATTCTTTGATCGTATCTTTGTATAGTTATATTCACATTATTGTGCATGTTTATTACACCGTGTTTTTATCCGTGTATAATTTATTTGACATAAACAAACCTGAGTTCAACGAAGATTCAAATTCACACGGGCTATTTTTTTGCGTTTGCTGACCATTAATCTTGGTTTGACTCAACCCATATCAAGAAGTGGAATGAATTAAACCCAGGTCAAACCTGTGTTAATAGTGTTTACACGCAAAAAAGGCATACACGCATTCATTTGAATCTTGGTTGAGCCCAGATTAGCTAATGTCGTGTGAATTAGTGTCAAGTTTGTATCAACTTATAGTTAGTTGTTTTTACTTGTAATGATTGATGAATTTATGTATGAATTGTTAGATGTAGAAATTCAATATCGACCTTAGACGGGAGATAGATTCCCTTACACAAACATAAAGATGAGAACTTAAGGATAATATACGTTTTTCACCTACAGTGAAGAAAAAAATTTCTTGGGCTGCACTACATAAAGACGCCTTCTATAAATAAACTTAAATGAGCCCAAACCTTTAGGCGTATAGTTTTATAGTATTGCCAATTATATGTCCCTGCAAATGTGTAAAGTTATGCTTGCAAAACTGCATGATTTTTATTAAGCGTCAGTGGTGGCATATAAAATTTCTGATTAACAAAAATTAATAAACTTTATAACTATAAATCCGTCCGATGAATTACCTTTGCGAGCTTTCACCTACCAAAGTTTTTACACAAGTTTCGGCATTGAACGCAAGCAATATACGAAAATGAGTCGAAGAAATTAAAGTCACAAGAGAAGTAAGTTTTATTAGTTAGATGTGATGACACGATTTCAAAAAAATTTTTTGCTGACAAATCAAACTAAAGACCAACAAAGCTAGATAGAAAGCTTTGTTTCAAGTCATGTAATAATCCAACCAACCTTGTCTGCTCGGTCATTACCGCTAAATATTGGATTTTAGTCGTCGAGTAGATAACCTCGCCGTACGGGTTCTGTATATAGCTAAAAAGCCCTTGGTCGGATTTATCTAGGTGAAGACCTTGAGCTTTGTTAAATATTCAACGAAAAATATGTTTCCCTCGCGTTAAGTTAATAAAACACAAGAATGGTTTTTAAAACATACGCGTTTTAAAACATACGAGTTTTTTATATCCTTAAATTCATTTTCATTATTACGTTATCTTTGTTATATTGTAACATACCGTTGTTTTTTGTCGTTGTAAAATCACTTTGTGAACTTTGACAAGCATTATTTGATGCATTGCAGAAAGCAAATAAAAGAAAAATCACAAAAACACGCATCAACATCTTGCACAAAAGAAAGAAAACACTTTATGTTTGAAAAACGTTTTTGGCAACAATTATATAGCCACCATCATGAAGAATAAATTATATTTTGCACATGCAGCTGTGTTCAATTTACCTAAATTACATAGAAAAGCACTTTTCCGATATTTTGGGCATGTTTCAAGGCCATAAAACCGATTTTTGTTTAAATCCTAGAAGCTTGTAGAAATATTTTCTTGCTTGATAATAATGGAAAGATTGGTTTATTGGTGAACAAACATTGTTCACATTCAGTATCTCTTTTGTGATACCTAACACATTAAGACAAAACTCATATATAAATCATTAAGTACTAGAATATGTCTTCCTTTCACATATCATAATAATAATTCATAGTTAATAATTAATAAAAGTCCACTTTGTTTTTATTAATTTGATTCGCAGCTAAAAACCTTTGCTAGCTAAAAACATTTGCTTCTACAGACGTCCTGTTTTGTTTTGTGGTTTGAAATATAATTTCCTAAAGTTCCATAATGGGTTCTTTAATTACGATATCTAGCTATAGTGTTTGCGTTATTGCCCGAGAAATATTTTATTGTCAAGTGGATGCAAATTAAAGATTTTGGGTACAATTAATGACGTATCGTTTTTATTATTTATGTCACTATACAATAATGATAAGTACTCAGTTTATAAATAACGTCAGTCACTCAAACACAGAACGGTCATGGGGACTGGGGAGAAACGGCAAGGTCACATGGAGGGAGACCTTTTTGGGAAACTAGTGTGTCTACAGGTGAGGTATTAACATGATTTTGTGATTATAATTGAGATCATACATTGTGACTGACTGAGCGTACGTACGATGTAGGATTAGCTAGAAAAGTAGATGATACTGACGGTTTTCTCTTTTTAAAGTTTCCTTAGTCTTTGCTTTTCTGGTATTTTTAATACAAATTTACAAAATACTTTTTGAAGACACGGGCGCTGATTGGTTGAATGCCCGAAAAGCCAGTGTTTCAGAAACTCTATTACAGTCTCGTAAAAGTATCGCAGAATGCATGGTTTGTGCGGAAACTATTAATGAGACAATTTTTCAAACAACATGCCAATAAACTTCTCTTTTTAATATTACTTTAATAGGCTATTTTATGAATGTAATAAAAAACATATTTACTTGTTTCCATTGAGTTATCGAAATACGTACTTGTGAAAGTTTCTGAGCAACTCAAAATTGCTCGGAAGCACTCGCCGTCGCAATTCGTGCTCGTGCTTGCCACTTAACTTTTTGTTTCTTTCAAACTTTCTCGCGTGTAGAAACACGGAAAATATTTTCTGTTTCTTACATGATAAATGAATGCTTACTTTTATACGTAGCTACATACGTATGCAGTGCGTTGTCCTTCTTTGTTTAAGCTACTACTACTACTACTAGTCATAGTCTGACAATGATGTTAAAAAATGCATGCTCCTTGTCTGATAATGTCGTGAATGTTAGCACATTCCAGTAAAAAGAACTGAGATAGGAATGAGTTGTGATGAGAATGATGTGATTTGAAAGAGATCGACAATAATAGACTCGAACTAATTGTGAGAATCGAACGAAATTCACCTCAATAGAGATTAAATATCGACGTCATGATAGAATAACTGTGGCTTCTTATTTTTCTTGGTTTTTTTTTTACGAAGCATTTGGACTACGTAGCAATTATTTAAAAATTATGACAAACAAGAACATTATATTGAAGCAATTGTATAACGTGTAGCTCCTTACTCATTTGGACACATAGTCATTCAACCACAGTCAATTAATATCTCAAAGTATTTTATTAAATAAACACTTGACTGATTTGTTCTTATGTGAATTGTAGAGTATACTTGTTTAAAAATCTATTGTTTTCATTCATTACTTAAACTACTGAAAAGGCATGCCCAAAACATATACAAAGTTTATTAACTGGAAATGCTTATGTACTCAACAGATATTTTATGATCAAGTGTTGCTAACATTTTTGTTATTTTGTTGTTGATGTGTTAGGCACGTGGTTGAAAACAGCCAACCACCAGTTTTAATCTGCCATAATGACGTACAACCAGGTAAAGATTTCCAACTAGGTTATTGTGAATATTATGGGTTTTTAATAAAGGTTAAATATAATTTAAATACCTACAGGAAACTTGTTGGTGAAAGCAAATGAAGATCTCGATGAGGCAAAAATTCGTGTGATTAATTTCGAATATTCGTGTTATAACTACAGGTGAAAAAAAAGAGAGAAGGATAATTTTCGTTTAAACCGCAAATGAGGAAGGAAGAAAGGAATATTATTTCATGTTCGCGCTGCGTAGAGTTGTCAAATATTATAATAGCAAGATTTTCGTTTGATCACTTAAAGCAGTCAACAATTGAGCAAAGGGGCAAGAGCTGTCAAAAACCAACCAATTTGTACCCATAATGCTTTGCAACCCGCTGCTTATCATTCTCTTAGAAAATTTTGAATATTTGTTTCATCAAAACATTTCAACTTTTCTTATTTTTAACGTTTCTAAATTTGTTTATCTGGTCAAACTTTTATAATATTTCTTATTTTTTGATTCAGAGGATACGATATTGGTAATCATTTCAGTGAATGGATATTTGATTATAATCATCCACATTATCCCTTTTTTACTGGAGAAGTCACAAAATATCCTTCTTATGATCAAAAGGTAATTCACTAATAGAAGTAATAGTTTAAGAAACGATAAAAACAATTTTATGGTTAAAAATAACCCCCAAATTATACTTCATATGAAAAGGATAATCTGCTGTTTATAATGTAGTTATCTACTATCGCCGTATAGGTTTTTCTTTTTTTTTCCGTATAGCTTTTTCCCTCTGTGTTTGGCCGCATTGCTTTTTCCCTCGGTGTTTAGCTGCCGTAGGTATTATGTATTCCAGGGCGAAAATCACGCAAATATATGTGTTTTTAACAATCATAAAAAAATTTGCACAAAAGCTGCTTTGTTATCGGCCTCGAACTCGTCCCAAAGGTCTGCTGTTTTTATATCACCTAAACTCTTCGATATTTCGAGTATTTTTCGTCCGTACGTATTTACAAGCTTATAATGAAACAAATGAAGTCACGTTAGACGAGATTGAAAAAGTTATTGACGAAGCTGACAGGTAAATTTTATAACAATCGTCCTCTTATATTAATATAGTGCAAGATAAATTTTTAAAATTCATTTTTGAATAAACGTAGTTCTCGTTTATTCAAGGTTCAATTAAGTCAGTTTAGGGTTTACTGACATCATTTAGGTCAGTTTTAAGTATACATAGGGCTTGTCAAGTTATAACTGATGCAATTAATACATAACTTTTGAAAGCAATTCTCTTTTATTACATCACCTATTCGTGTACTTATTTAGCCATTGTACGCAAGTGCTTACATATTGGTATCGGTTTTGTCTTTCTGCGAATAAATGTTTTAATTTTACGTATGTTTTAAAAAAAATATTGAAACAACATCATTCAGCTTTGTTTTCCTTTTTTCTATAGATTGTCTCTTCTTTCTCATTTCTTTTTTGGGCAATGTTTTCAATTCTTCAAAGTTATAAATCCTCGATCAATTTTGGTTATCTCGTAAGTAGATGAACAGTTAAATAGTGTTGTTTATCGTTAGATTTACATCACGTGACTGAATTTGGCTTTTTCTTTGTTGTATTGTAGTACCGTGGTATTGTATCCTAAACACCATTTGCTTTTTTTTAAAATACCATATCTTATAAGGAACATTCTACATCGAACAATGTTAGAAATGTGCACCACCACTTCATCAACTTTTGCATATAGTGTTCGTTATTTCTTTACAAACATTTCTATAAATGCATGGTCTTTTGCACTAAGTTCTTTCCATGTGGATTTGTTTAGAACAGATGTTAGTCAGCAATAATGTCTTATGCGTGTGTATCAAACTTGTACATAATGAGAACTATCATTGTGAACAAACGTAAAAGCAACGTAACACTTTGCGAAGATTTCTTATAAGTTTACAAGAAGGATTTTGTGTTTAAATTTTATGGAATCGAATCACTATAAAGTAAATCCCATCCTCAGTAGTAACCATGCAAAGGATCTTGAGTGTGTTTTATTAATCTGTCATATAAGGTATTAAGAAGCGTCAGAAAATATATGGAGAAATACTTATGTGCAAACATCCACCTCTATAGGAAATGTTACGCAAATACTACATTTATTGCATGATGACAAATTTCCGTACCTTTCATAAAACCAAATTGTTTATGACGATTTTTAAAATTATTTGTTGGGCTCTAATATTTATATTGAGAATCCGCTTCCCGCCTGGCACTTCATTGGCAACAATACTTTTAACAAAAATATATGTATGCTAATACTTCAAACTAGAAATAGGTTTTGGTCACAGATTTGGATACGACATTTTAGTGCGCACAATTCTGAGAGTACTGCAGTAGCCTGCCCTTCCAAGTAAAAAGTAGGTAGAATTACTCACTCACTTTAACTTTTTCAAATGTAGTTCCTGTCTCATCAGCTGCCTTTTGTATTGTTTCACGTTTCTCCTTTGCCGTTGTATTCATTCCCTGATCGTAATAAGACTTCAAGATAGCTTTTTGCAAGTCAATTGATACTTCATACTGTATTCCAGTTGCCGCCATCTAGATATGGCACACGTGTGTCGTGTGCATGTCATGTGTTGATGATATATAGATTGGTGCATATATAAATCAATTATGGCGTCAATGAGAACGCTTAGAGGATCTCCTACATCAAATACATGCGACGTTCTCAATTTGAGAAGTCTTGCTTTAGACGATTGAGAACATGCGACACAGGTAATCATTTGAATTTTTTTCAAAACCGGATTTTAGTGACAAACTGTTATTTGTAAATTGACGTCTTACCTACAGACATCTAGAATTATTTGCAGGTAGTTGACCAATCAAAAGCGACATTGCTTACATAGTGAATAATGATGTAAAATAATTGCATGAAATACATGATACACCAAGATTGCGTGGAACGTGGCGAAAAGATAAAATTAGCTACTTACACAGCAACATCTCATTAAACAAATGAGTGAAAAGTCGTAACATTAGAATCCTATAGTTACCTAAAGCAGCTTTAATTTTTAGGGGAAGTTTTAGAAAGTTATTATTTCACCACAGTATTTTTAGCAATTTTTTCAACGCTTTTTTAAATGATAATGTTTATAAAGGTTGTTTTACAAGAAATAAAAGCTAAAATGTTTTTATTATATGTTGAAAGTTCCATTAGAAATAATGATCACATTTATAACATCACAGTCATTGGAAATTCTTTATGGTTTTATTTTCATCTCAGTGAACTTTAAGGATATTTTATAACCTTTCCAATGATACCAAGTCACACCTTTGGCATTGTTTTGGTTGTCACTATAGTAGTGTCCATTCAGGTTAGATTCATAACAACGCTTAAACCACCAAGCTCCTTGGTTTTTGGCACAGTTTCCTCCATATTTATCATTATCTGAATCTTTTGTTGAAAACGCCATGCCTTTATGATAAGATAATGAATCTCCGGCATTTCCTAAGAAAAGTAATACCTTTGAAAAATCGCAATTATTGAAGTTATCAAGAATCCTTTTAAACTTGCATTAACACAAGAACAAGTTTAATGTAAATAACATTTAGGCATTGACACTTGCATTTACAATTGATTGCCAAAGGCTTAGATATAAAAAGAACTTCAGTCAATCTTCAGTTGACAATGGTAGTCACAGTAGAGATTCTCTCTTATGTACCAAAAAATTTAGTCGTGTTTTATTAGCTACATGATGTTCAGGCGCGAGCTTATCATTGGCCGTTTTTATACGAGACACGCATAATGCGTCTGAACAAACTTGGGCAAGAAAGTTTTTTCGTCTGGTTATGTGTCTTCAGTCTAAATACGGGCACAAGATGCAGTATACGTCTAGATGAATAGTCAATGGTCATTCATCTTTGTAGACAAAGAATCGAACGTATCCAAATCGTTTTACTTTAATGCTAATATAATCTTTATTCTATATAATATTTGAACTTTGTGCTTTGATTAATTTATTTGCCTATTGACTTACCAGAATATTTACCAAGGCTTAATTGCTAGTTTTTATTTTCATTCTTTACAGCAAAATAATCATATTCAGCATATCTTTTGTTTCCTGACCAGTCTCCCAGGTCAACACGAAGTTTATTTCTCCTTGCAGATGTTAGTCGGTATATTTTATCTAATCCGAGCCAGAATTCGCCTTTCAGATCACCAAAACCTTGTTTATAGTCTTTCCAACCTCGATAGAAGTTTACACTTCCATCTTGACGTCGTTGAAACACAGTCCAACCTCCACCAGATGACTTCATATCACAGAAAACCTTAAAGTAACCCTTACCATCAGGATTAATTTGATAAACTCCGTTCTTTTCTTCACCTTTTTTGTAAACATCTGCACAATCTTTCCCTAGTAATATAAAAAAGAGTTCTGCCATGAAATAATATGTTGTTAAATGTCATTCTTGATATCTCAAAATCATTCTTACCTTTTAGCGATTTTCCTGTGAGTTTTTTATTTTCTTTGTAAAGAGTTTTCTGTTGTTTTTCAAGTTTTTTTAGCTTTGTTTGAATTGTTGCTATTTGCACATCTAGTTTTTTCATTTTTAATGACAAATTAATCATTTCAAGTTCAATTTTCTTAATTTGTTTTTGCAATTTTACTAATTTGTACGTTTGTACACGTGTCTTGTTGATTTTGGAATGAAGCGCTATTTTAAATGTTTGAAGGTGCTTTTTTTGTGTTTGTAGATTTTTGTGATATTTTTTCAGTGTCTTTATTTGCCCTTTTATTAATGCAATTTGTGTCTTTAATGTTACATTTCTTTGAACAACTTTCAAAGTGCGTTTCATGTCAAAGTTGAGCGACGAGAAATTATCTTTGAAATTAATTTCTTTTTCACTTGTTAAATTCGCTCTATGGAAATAATGACGGAAATGAGATCAATACATTCACTTTCTTTATTACTATATCCATTACGACATAATATTCCTCTAATCATTGATTTAATATAGCCAAAAAAATGAAATTGTTTTAAAACAGACTCGTAAATAAATTGATAACTTAACATAGTGGCTAATTTATAAACTTACTGAAAATGGCTTGATGTTTATTTACGCGTTAAGATAC